TTTATATATGAAGTTTTATAGCCGTTGAAATGAGTTTGCGATAATTTGACAGAGGCGTTCTATCACAAACTTATTTAAGCTTGACTGATTTGCAGGGAACCGATGGTGCTGTTCAAGCTGGTGGAGGGACTTGAAAAAAGGCGCGCACCTTAAACAAGTGGTCGCGTGCGTATGCGCACGCCAATCAGGTTCCCCGCCTGCCCCCCATCTGCCCGGAGGGCATCCTTGGCTTCGACTTGGACGACGAAATCTATGACTTCAACTCCGACGACGAGCTCTCTGACTAGGAGGAGGAGAGAAGCATGAGGCAGGCAAAGAGACCCTCCAGCTCGAGGACAACTGTGCCCCAGCAGCGGTACATGTAGGGGGCGTGAGGAATGAGGAAGAACGAAGAAAGAGCGACAGTCCGGCGAATGTTTTTGCCGCAGATGGGGAGAAAGTTGCAGCAGGTTTGATTAATGGGCAGGTTACGAAGGTGAAAAAAAAAATTCGAACTAATTCATGAATATTGAGTTTTTCCGAATCTAAAAGGAGAGATCTAAGGCATGCAACGGTTACCGTGGTAAGGCATGTAGACATTACCATGGTATGCGAGAGTATTTTCTGAGTGTTTTTCCGTGATAATACTGATTTTTTTGTGATAAATGATTAGATGTAGTGCATGTGACGCATTGTGGCGCGGAGTGTCGTGATAATTTACCAAGGTAATGTAGATTATTGGAGGGAGCCATGGTAAGTTTTGAGTAAAAGATCCTGTAAAGTTGGTATGGAGGTGAGTGGCGCAGTTGTGGCTGGAAGCACAGTGAGGTGCAGTGTGTTGCAGTGTGTATAGAGGATGTGTAATATGTACCGAGGTAATGTAGGTGGTTAGAGTTGGGAGAGAAGACCGATGCAGAACAACAGGGTCCGGTGCAATGTGGGACTTCCCAACAGAGGTCTCAAATTTTTACTATAGAAAAGGGCTGGACACCCCGAGCCCTAATAATGAGAAAAGCGTAGGAGAATTTGGCCGTTCCGATCAACTGGCCAGGGTATGGCAACACGTACCAATGGAGGGATTTCATTGCATTTTCTTGCTGAGTCGAGAATGATGGTTAACGACTCAAAATTGTTAATGGCAAACAGGGAAAAGTTCGTGTATGTGGAATAGTGAAAGGAACATAACATACTAAATATTACATAAAAAAAATCAAATATGTAGAAATATGTAGAAATATGTACAAATATATCAAGGTCTTTCAACGAAGACACTCACTGTCTAGCCATTTATCTACAACCCAAGAAGAGAGTGTGTGGTTCTGGTTAAGTTTTTGAGAGGGGAAATTCATTCCCTTGATATCAATAATATCCAGCCAAGGATCCGATTCGATGAAAAGAGGTTCCCAAGTGCGAAAACGAAGATGATCGTTGGAGAGCAGATCACAAGGAGCAAACCAGTGAACGAGATAGCGAAGGTTGGAGCGCATTTCTTTGATTTGGGCGATCCAAGAAGTGTCGTCCGGATAGGGGGTGCCATCGGAGAAGATATAACCAATTTTCGCGAAGCAGACGACAAACGAATCTAGTTTGATCTTGTTGCTGAGCACCTTTTCACCAGGTGGACAGGAACGGGGGCCAACACGTGTGTTTGTGTTGATGCATTGGTGACGAGTTTGCAAGGCGGCATGAAGAAGTTGGATTCGTGGGTGAAGATGGGGTGCAGAGGTAAGATCAAAAGAGGGGGTGGGTATGGGTGGTGCGATGGATGTGGTACGGCGGGATGGGGAATTATGTAGGATAAATTGTTTGTGTTGGCATAGGGCATGTAAAAGCTTATTAGCAAGTGCAGTGTTTGTTCCGATGGTAGAGAGGTGTACGTGAGCGGAATTAGCAAAGCGAGGAAGGTTGTTTGTTGCCATAGAAGTTTGATGTCATGTTGCATGACAGAATCGAACTTCGCATTGATCACCTTGTGGAGTTTGTTGTCGGCAAAGCCTTCGGTGAGTTCAGGATCGGGGCCGAGGGGGAGGAGTTTGAACCATCTGGAGTTGTTTAAGGTGGAGATGACGCAAGGAAGACCTTGTTTGAGATGGGGTGCTTTGGCAGTGCTGTATTCATCTTCAGAGAAATGTTTTTTGTGTCTGAAAACAGAGGAAGCAGTAGTAAAAAATGAAATGAATTGATTAATGCAACAGGGGAAACTGGGAAAGGGAACTTACCATAATTGAACTATTCTAAGTTCGTCCTTGGCGAGGTGGAAGCAGTAAGAGCGGCAAAGCTGATGTAGTTTGTCAGCTCAGATATCTTCAGCTCACTTGCGGAAGTTTGCGTCATGATCGATTTGGCGTATGAGACAAGGAGAACAGGGATGTGGAGACAGGAAGGCTACGTCAGATTTTTCAATGGTGTCCAGGAGGATATCGGGAGTCTTGAGGTCGGTGCGTTTGATGGTTTTTGAGATGTTGGGGATCTGCTGTTCAATATTCTCGTGAGTGTGACAGACATTGAGAAAACCGATTGTAATCTTATTTTTGTAAACAAATCGATAAATATTAGTATGAAGGAAGACAACAAGTAAAGTAGGATGGAGTGAACGAGGTTACCTCTTGAAAAAGACTGAGATGTACCAAAAAAGCAGGGGAGACAAGAGCGTATTGGTTCTTAGCTTCCTTGAAAGTGTTGTCGAGTTGAAGATGAAGTTGTTGTGGCCAAACCTCGAGATGGAGAAGTGAGTGACAAAGGATCGAGAGCATGAGGTTGCAATCGTGGGGATATCGGAAGAGGTCGACGAAGGCGTAGGCGCGCTTGGAGCTGTTATCGACAACGCTGGTGATGTGAGAGCGAAGACAAAGAACAACTTTGAGGGATTTCGGTTTCTCAAAGTAGAAAGGAAGGTTTGACTTGCTCTGATCCATTCTGTCAATGATAAAGGAAGCGTATGTATGTGGCTGTAGCTGAGCGCGTTGGGAAGTAACATAATAATGCTTGCAAGACTGTCTGAGATGAGAAAAGAAAAATGTTGAGAAAGTGAAAGAGAACAGGATGATCATGAACCTACTCAATCTGGGTTCGATGTTGTTGATGATCTTCTAAGACAGCTACTTTCTCTTTGCGTCCTAAAGACTTGTCGGCGACACAGGATATTATCGCTGCGCACAGATTGCACATGGAGAAGTTGGAGAGTTTCTTGAATTCAACTCGCCTTGTAAAAAGAAAGGATAGGGTTCGTGAGGGGATAAAAGCGAAAGTGTCATACTTTTTTTGTCCGAAAAAAACCAGCTAGTATAAGAACATTGTTTATCTTTGGACACAAAAAGAGGACAATCTGTGATTATATTTATGTCATTTGTGTGGTGTGTCCTATGTTCAGTAACATGAACAGCTACTCAGCTACTCTCCATCACTGATACATACCGATATTGATTATTCCAGATATGGTAAAAGTGAGTGGAAGAAACAGTATTGACGCGATTGTGATGAATCAGGTAGTTGTTATATAGGAGAGGTTTTGTGTTGCCAGCTGGTAGGTTGATGATGCCGGATTCAGGATGGATATCGCCTTCGGTGTGAATAAGCGAATCAAACCAAACGAGGAGAGGCATGGTTTCTTCACTAGAGCCTCTCAAAATAAGCCAAATTTAGCTAGGCTTTTTTCATTGTTAGCGCTCGCGGTTGTTGAGTCCCTTTCCTATAGTAAAAATTTGAGACCTCTGTTGGGAAGTCCCATATCCCACCGGACTCTGTTCTGTCGGGCATGGCCAGACATCGCACCTATCAGAACCCAAGTCACCCCCACCTGTTCAAACTAAGTGGCTCCTCCCCGGATCCCTTGGATGCACCTCACTCCCTTCGACATCACCCCGCTTCACCTCAGAACTCCAGCTCCCCCGACCGATCCAATATGATCCCCCTCCGATATGATCTGACCCAATCCGACCCGATCAGAACTGACCTGAACCCCACCTCCCGAACCCAGCCGAAGCCAAGTCCCAGAGATGACATCCAAGTAGGTCCCAACCCGATCCGATCCGGTCTGATCCGAGACCCAAGGGCCAGTCCCCCAGTTCACCCTCCCCTGATCCCGAGTCCCACCCACCCCTGACCAAAGCCAGACAACAAAGTGACACCCAACACCACAAGAAGCTGAACCAGAGCCCTGCCCCCTGTCCCTCAGATCTGATCTGATCCAACCTGAGCAGAACAAATCCTATCTGATCCGATCCGATCTGAGGACTCAGCGCCCCATTCCCATGTCCCACCCCTCCGATGCCAGACCTGAAGCCAACACCAGAGAGACGAGCCCTGACCACCAGACGGTGCATTCCCCAATCCGATCCGATCCGATCCGATCTGAGAGGCCCACCCGATCGGAAGACCCGACCGACCTAATGCACCCGACCCAACAAGACACCCCCGCCCCACCAGCCCCGTACCTCAGTTCAACCCTCCCCACCACACACCCCTCCCCTCACGAGTTGGCGATGATGCAGCCGAGAGGGCCTCCCCTTCCCATGCGACTGACTTCCGAGGGTCTTCGTATGTCTCTCCGTCCCACGATGCTGCTAGAGTCACGCTCCCCTCGTTCACGCCTAGATGAAGCACGAAACCCCTTGTGCCTGTGGGAAAAAGGCGCAATGATCGATCCATCAACCAAAATTGCCCCTCTACCTAGTTCGAAAAAACACCCTGACAAATAATCCTTTTGGGGGTTTGCAGGCCTCGGTCAATGGGATCGCCGATATCTTGCTAATGCTTGTGACTCCAGAAGCTCCAACGGGGTCCCATCAGGCTAGACTCCAAAAAAAAACATCTTTAAAGATCACACAAAGCCGTCGTTATACCCACGTGAAGACGAAAAGCGACAAGGCCTTCCCGCAGATGCAAAAAAATATCTTTGAAGATCACACAAAGCCGTCGTTACACCCACACGAAGACGAAGAGCGACAACGCCAAACAGAGGCAATGAGTCCCGAGGAGGTTAAGACACATCTGGAAGTCTAACGGCGAGATGTTAACAAGACTGGAGAATGGGGGTATCCATCCCCCTGCCTCTCGCACGCTAAGCGAGCGCTCTGCCATCTGAGCTGATCCCCCGTTTCTTGTGTTGTGGCATGACAAACCGGTAATATATTCTTTTCCCTTGTTTGCGACAATTTCGCACGAAAGCCTAGGCGTTCTCGCCTAAACGTCCCAATCTCGCCACCAACCGAAGCTGCACACCACCAAATTCGGGGGTGCCCTCGCAACCACTCCCATCCTCGCGAGTCCTGCCACCACTCCCCCTCCCTCCCCCATAGACACCCAGCTACCGCGACACAGCCCGTCCAAGAAGCGACTTCCACAAAGGGGCACCCCTGATCCAGGCGGGGGGGGGGTGAGAAGTG